AAGTAAGCAGTATTGTGTTCACTTCCCTAAACACGGCAAGAATCGATTTGATTATGTCGTCACTCATGTCTTCAGTCAACTGGTTTTTCTTGCTTATTCAGCACCTTGCAGAATATCTATGTTGCGTCTCTGTCACCGTCTGTGACACGTGTGACTGTCTTCTACCGAATCTCCTGTGTGTAGTAGTCTTTACCCGGCCTGCTGTCCTCAGAACCACACATGGAACTTAGATGTGTGATGGACTCAGAATATATTGAACAAAAATGCTACCCCTCCCGCCTCATCATCTGACTCCCCATACCCATCACAATCGGACTTTGTATTATTATTATACAGGATTTATGACGCCAACAGTTTGCTCAGCGCTTTACAATATAACAAGAGACAATACAGCAAACAATACAAGAGGGTTAGGAGGGCCTGATCCTGGGAGCTTACAATCTAAGAGGGAGGGGTATTCTTTTGCGGTCTCCTTTAGGTTCAGCAAAGCTATGTGATATGAGCCCTCACACTACACAATTGTCGGTAAATCTAGATAGAAAATCTTATCTATTCAGATTGTGAGGTGTGTGGGGTAATTTTGAGCAGGGTTGGTGCATATACAGTTTTCTAAATGGTTTAGGACAGGGGTGTCAAACTCAATATCATTGCGGCCTACATCAGCGTTATGGTTGCCCTCAAAGAGCCTGTTGTATCTGTAAAACTAGATGTCCAGGCTCCCCCCCCCACTTACATCAGATGTCAAGAGCCACCCACCATCAGAAGTTGAGTCCCCCACCCTCCGTTACATCACAGTGCAGCCCAGGGGCAGACTGACAACTCATGGGGCCCCCGGGCAAAAGGGGATCATGGGGCCCCTGTGTCCTTGCCCAAACTGAAAAAAGCCTATGAAAAAGGTACCAGGGGCACCTCATGGGGCCACCTACTGTCCCCAGGCCCTCGGGCAGTGCCCAAGTTTCCAAATGGTCAGTCCGCCCCTGGTGCAGCCCTTACCTTGTGCAGCTTCCAGGAAGAAGCTGGTGGCGAAGCAGAAAGTGCAGGGTCTGAAGGAGGACCAGAGGAGTGCTGGAGTCTGCTAAACGCTGAGAGCAGGGAAAGCAGAGACGAGGGAGTGCTGCAGTTGCACAGAGAGGAGCGGGATCTGTAGGAGGAGTTTCTGTCATCCTCTGTACTGCCAACTGCTGAGACAAGGTGGGGCCAGAGACAAGGTGGGTGCCAGGGCAGCATGAAGTGGGCTGGAAGGCGGGAGAATGGCAACTAAAACAAAGCAGTTGCCAGTGATCTAGGTAAATTTTTCACATGAAAGGGTAAATTAAAGATTCCCATGCAGGACATTCATTTAGGACAGGGGTGGGCAACTGTGGCCCTCCAGCTGTTGTAGAACTACAAGTCCCATGAGGCATTGCAAAATTGACGGTTACAAGCATGACTCCCAAAGACAGGAATGATGGGACTTGTAGTTCCCGTCTTTGGGAGTCATGCTTGTAACTGTCAGTTTTTCAATGTTTAATGGGACTTGTAGTTCTACAACAGCTGGAGGCCCACATTTGCCCACCCCTGACTTAGGACATCACCACCAAATATGGAGCATGGTACCTCCCTGGCCACAGTTTCTGTAGCATTGCGAGGATATTTTTTGGCACGTTTTGGTTATCCCGGTGGGCATCACATGTACCCCCATAACAGCATTTTCTAATTGGACTCCACAAGGGTCATCTTCGTAGAGATCTTTGACAAGTCATCGAATTCCTGCCAATCCTGACAGTCCAAGGTTATTTATTTTTTTAGATCTTGTTCCCATTGTATCGTATTTAGGAGTTTATGACCAGGATTTAGTATATTAATGAAGTCCGGCCCCCTCGTAGTTTCTCCAGTTTCACAAGAGATTTTAAATAATGTCAGTGATAATGTGCGGAGGGTATATTTGCCTTCAGCAAGCCATAGGTGATTCTATTCACCTTCCCGCAATCACGGCTGGAAGGAAAAGAAATCGCTCATTTTTGTCATCAACACAGTGTTGATGGGGGAATCCCTCCCGCACTTCTATGTTCTGCCAGCAGGGAGCCTTCTCTGCCAACAGAACGCAATGATTACTGTTGGCGGCTATAGCCGCCTGCAGTAATCACATGCAAAAAAAAATCTGACAGGCTAGTTGTAGTGAGGTCAGTCGATGGATCGACTTTAGTACAATCAGCCTGCCCATAGATGGATCAAATCTTGGCCGGTTTCTGCTGAACCTGCCAAGTTTTGATCCACCATTGGCCAGCTTTAATGTAGGAGGTGATCCGAGTATAGCGGAAAATTTCAGGTGAGGGGGAGGGGAATTCTTTTCTGTAGTGGTCAAAATTACGAATGTCATTTTCAGATGAAAAGTCCCTATGCATATAATTCTTTGTTTTTCCACCATTGAAAGATGCATGAATATTACCCAGATTGAAATTCAGGATTTAGCATAGGTGTCAAAGGAGTGTAGTGAGAATAAAGTTATCTCCTGGCTCTCTGCTTGTCCCATAAGGAAAGTGAGTAAGAGAAGGTGGGGCTCGTGATGGGTGGACACAATCTGCTAGGGATCCACATCATGGATCCATTAGACCATTGGTCTCCAAACTGCAGCCCAAGGGCTGAATGGGGGGCCCCTTGCTTGCCATTATCTCGCATTTGGGGCACTGCTTCTCCCATGGACACCAACAATGCGACATTCTTCCTTCCACTGACACCAATGATGGGGCATTATTTCTTCCACTAATACAAGGCACTAGTCCTTAAACTGACACCAGCGATTTGGACTCTTCTCACCATTGATACCAATGATGGGGCCCTAGTCCTCCCATTGATACCAATGATGGGGCCCTATTCCTCCCATTGATAGCAAGGATGGGGCCCTATTCCTCCCATTGATAGCAAGGATGGGGCCCTATTCCTCCCATTGATAGCAAGGATGGGGCCCTATTCCTCCCATTGATAGCAAGGATGGGGCCCTATTCCTCCCATTGATAGCAAGGATGGGGCCCTATTCCTCCCATTGATAGCAAGGATGGGGCCCTATTCCTCCCATTTGATATCAAGGATGGGGCCCTATTCCTCCCATTTGATACCAAGGATGGGGCCCTATTCCTCCCATTGATACCAAGGATGGGGCCCTGTTCCTCCCATTTGATACCAAGGATGGGGCCGTGTTCCTCCCATTTGATACCAAGGATGGGGCCCTGTTCCTCCCATTGATACCAAGGATGGGGCCCTGTTCCTCCCATTGATACCAAGGATGGGGCCCTATTCCCCCCATTGATACCAAGGATGGGGCCCTATTCCCCCCATTGATACCAAGGATGGGACCCTATTCCTCCCATTTGATACCAAGGATGGGACCCTGTTCCTCCCATTGATACCAAGGATGGGGCCCTATTCCTCCCATTGATACCAAGGATGGGGCCCTGTTCCTCCCATTTGATACCAAGGATGGGGCCCTGTTCCTCCCATTGATACCAAGGATGGGGCCCTGTTCCTCCCATTGATACCAAGGATGGGGCCCTGTTCCTCCCATTGATACCAAGGATGGGGTCCTATTCCTCCCATTGATACCAAGGATGGGGCCCTATTCCTCCCATTGATACCAAGGATGGGGCCCTATTCCTCCCATTGATACCAAGGATGGGGCCCTATTCCTCCCATTGATACCAAGGATGGGGCCCTATTCCTCCCATTGATACCAAGGATGGGGCCCTATTCCTCCCATTGATACCAAGGATGGGGCCCTATTCCTCCCATTGATACCAAGGATGGGACCCTATTCCTCCCATTGATACCAAGGATGGGGCCCTATTCCTCCCATTGATACCAAGGGTGGGGCCCTATTCCTCTCATTGATACCAATGATGGGGCATTGGTTACATCCACTGACACTGGGCCTTTTTCTACTCCAACTGTGTCCAGCCTCCTTTAAAGTATATCTAAAAGCAAAACGTTTTTAGGTTTGGAAAGAGTGGAGAGGGATTAGAACCCCTGTCGGTTTTGATTGCTGCCTTTGCCCCTATTAGGGAGAGTCACCCTTTCTATTTGTCCTATTTACCATTATCAGTGAAAGTAAAAGAAAATTCCACATTTTGGGTTGTCCCGAGAAAAGTAATAGAGAGGGGATCTCTTCCAATGGGTACACTAGTTCTGGTAACTGGTGGTCACCAAGGAATTTTCCTAATTTGAAGGAATTTCCTCTCACTTTCTTTATGGCTATGGGACAGGAAGTGAAGGGAAATCTCCCCAGTGGGACAGGGAGGGTTATAACCCTCCCTCCAGAATGAAAACAAAAATGCCTATAATTCTACTTTAAGTCTGAAGGACAGTAATCTGGCCCTTTGGAAAGATTGGAGACCATGTGGAGCAGGACTAAGCCTCCATGAAAACTCATTGGGTGCAAGCGTCCCCTTGTAGTGTTCTGAGCTCCCTGTGCAGCTTTGATGGTATGTCATTTAATTGATCACTCCTAGACCTCCCTCGAGTTATAGTTGTATGAAGTGTCAATTTATTAATTCTACGTCTCTTAAGTACTGCATATGAAGTGAGGACTTTTATTTTGGATAGCAGTTCTCTCCTTCGTAGGAGTTGGAGAGTTCTAAAGAAATATAGGATTCTGGGTATGGTGTTCATTGTGACCGGATATATTCTTCCAAACCATGTAAGGGCGGTAAAATGGACCATCTCCCCAAATCTGGTTTTGATTTGTTTGAAAAAAAATGGAAGTTCTGTTGGTACAACACACAGGTGGGGTTTGTGGGTTCTCTGGCTCCATGGTCTACATACCAACATAAAGGCAATGGCCACCACAAGGGACAGACCTAATAATTAAATCCAACACAATTATGGCCAATGGATGCACTTTGACGTATTTTACTCTCAGGTTCCTTAAAATTGGATTGACGCACTGAAAGGTTAAAAGGAAGCAACGTGTTAGAAAATGCAGCCTAATGGGTTGTTTGGTTTTTTTGTTTTTTTTTTTTTGTCTGCAGAAAAAGCCCGTGAGAAGGCGCTATGAGCCGTACGGGATGTATTCCGATGATGACGCCAACAGCGATGCCTCTAGCGCGTGCTCAGAAAGGTCTTACGGATCTCGGAATGGAGGGATTCCGCACTACTTGCGGCAAACCGAGGACGTGGCAGAGGTCCTTAATCATTGCGCTAGTTCCAATTGGTCAGAGAGGAAGGAGGGGCTTATCGGTCTACAAAACCTCCTAAAAAGTCAGCGGACGCTCAGGTAAATCAAGTGCTAATTGTGACCTTTCTGTGTTTTGACCTGGCGTGGCGTAACGGGTGTTTCTGTTCAATTCTAGCCGGGTAGAGCTGAAACGATTATGTGAGATATTCACTCGGATGTTCGCCGATCCGCACAGCAAGGTATGTTTGATGCATGGGTGGCTCTTTATAGAGGAACATACGATTGTGAGAGTCGAGTGTTGTAGGTGTATGTCGGTGTGTTTGTAAATTGTAGAATTTATTCTGTGTAGGGATGCAGCAGCTCTGCAGTACATGGCTCTGTAGATTGCATGGTGTGCTGCATGCTAAGCATGGTGATGTCTGCATGATGATGAACAAATGTAACCTGCTAATTCCTAGGAGCAGCCACATCACTGCTAACATAACTGCTTATTCTCGTAGCCGCTAGTCATTTCCTGGTAGCCGCTAGTCATTTCCTGGCGGAGCTTCTGCTGGGCGCACAACACATTCTGCTGTGTACTATGACATGGCTGAACATGATCGGCGTGTTCACTACCAGAGCGTGTATTAGAGATCAATGTTATGTATTAGATTTCTGAGCATGTGAGGATGGCTTCTTACTTGTCTGAAGCATATGGGAGTGATGGCAGAGAGTAGAAGAGCGAGGAAGCTACATGGCAGGAGCCTAATTGGGATGGCTGCGCTTGGCTCCGGTGTGGCCATAGTTGGTTTAACGTGCAGGAGGATAACCACGCTTTTTAATAGCATGCAGGGCATTGGGCATAGTGGCAACTATAAATAACATAGGCTTCATTTGTCCTTGACATGCAGGACCCTGGTTGCGCTTGCTCTTGGGGCGCGGGACCCTGGTTGCGCTTGCTCTTGGGGCGCGGGACCCTGGTTGCGCTTGCTCTTGGGGCGCGGGACCCTGGTTGCTCTTGCCCTTGGGGCGCGGGACCCTGGTTGCGCTTGCCCTTGGGGCGCGGGACCCTGGTTGCGCTTGCTCTTGGGGCGCGGGACCCTGGTTGCGCTTGCTCTTGGGGCGCGGGACCCTGGTTGCGCTTGCTCTTGGGGCGCGGGACCCTGGTTGCGCTTGCTCTTGGGGCGCGGGACCCTGGTTGCGCTTGCTCTTGGGGCGCGGGACCCTGGTTGCGCTTGCTCTTGGGGCGCGGGACCCTGGTTGCGCTTGCTCTTGGGGCGCGGGACCCTGGTTGCGCTTGCTCTTGGGGCGCGGGACCCTGGTTGCGCTTGCTCTTGGGGCGCGGGACCCTGGTTGCGCTTGCTCTTGGGGCGCGGGACCCTGGTTGCGCTTGCTCTTGGGGCGCGGGACCCTGGTTGCGCTTGCTCTTGGGGCGCGGGACCCTGGTTGCGCTTGCTCTTGGGGCGCGGGACCCTGGTTGCGCTTGCTCTTGGGGCGCGGGACCCTGGTTGCGCTTGCTCTTGGGGCGCGGGACCCTGGTTGCGCTTGCTCTTGGGGCGCGGGACCCTGGTTGCGCTTGGGGCGCGGGACCCTGGTTGCGCTTGGGGCGCGGGACCCTGGTTGCGCTTGGGGCGCGGGACCCTGGTTGCGCTTGGGGCGCGGGACCCTGGTTGCGCTTGGGGCGCGGGACCCTGGTTGCTCTTGGGGCGCGGGACCCTGGTTGCGCTTGCTCTTGGTGCGCGGGACCCTGGTTGCGCTTGCTCTTGGTGCGCGGGACCCTGGTTGCGCTTGCTCTTGGTGCGCGGGTCCCTGGTTGCGCTTGCTCTTGGGGCGCGGGACCCAGGTTGCGCGGGACCCCCGGTTGCGCTTGCTCTTGGGGCGCGGGACCCCGGTTGCGCTTGCTCTTGGGGCGCGGGACCCCGGTTGCGCTTGCTCTTGGAGAGCGGGACCCTGACTCATTATTCCACTTGGCCTTTGAGTGTCTGTAGTCCTCTCAGATCACCTTCACATTGTAGAGCTGCTTCATCCATACAGATGCCAACAAGGGGTGTTTATATTATTATAAGTTGTATGAAAATGCGGCAGGGTGGTGAGAGAAATGAGGCAAAGAGGAATTCTCTGAATATTGTGTATGTGAAGTACAAAGAAAGTTCTAGAGTGCTGAGCCTTTGATGTGTTATCCCAATGCTGATATGGCTGGTGAGGAATCTAGATTTGGGTTGTTGGGCAGATTTCTATGATCTCTCATATAGGATAGGTGACTGTGACCTCCTTATTCGTGAACAAAAACTAACGTGTGGTTTGTTTTATCGCATGCTCTGCCTTGCTGTGGATCTCATTCCAGAGAGTAAGTGATGTTTTTCTCTTTTATTTATTGTCTGTCTATCCCTCTTCCTCATTCCTTCCACTTGTTGTTTGTGTTCTAAAAAAAAATCGGGAATTGGGATTTTCACCAAAACAGAAATTTAGCGGCTTGTGAATTTTGCGGAGTCAACACATCTCATAATGTTCATTGATCTGTATAAAGATAATACAGGGCTGTAGGAAAAGCCATTCTGTATGTGTTCTCTTGTGTCGCTCTCTTTTCTCTCATTATTTATATTGCGGTTAGTCTAACTCATTCATTTTTTTTTTTTTTTTTAAATGGTAAGTAGGGCCAAATTTTTTTGGGGGTTTTTTTTTTTTTTTTTTTTTTTTCATTTTTGACTGTAGCGCCAAGAAAATTCTAAGGAGCAAGATGAAAATTTAAATGTGGTTTCGTTTGGGAAATTCCATTCACTCAAATTGCATATTAAAGTGGAAGTAAAGGCAATACCTACCTAACTCTAATCCTCCTCTCGACCACATTCTAAGCCGAATTTGTCTAGCCCTGTAAAGAAAAAATCCATATACTTACCCATAGGTAAGGTCCCATAGGTAAGGTCCCATAGGTAAGGTCCCATAGGTATAGGTCCCAGACTGAGCTGTCAGTGGCGACTTCAGTGTGTAGGAGAGGCAGCCGACAATAGAAGCCTCATAGTCAATGGGTGATGTCATTTCCCAGCCTTTGGCTTTCTCCTGCACTCAGGCAGGGTACCACTGGAGACCGGACCAGAGTGGCTGCAGAACAAGTAAGTATAGCGATTTATTTCTTTACAGGGCTAGAGAGATTAGGCTTAGAATGTGGCTGAGTGTAGGTTTACAGTTACCATTTATTGTCGCTCCCTAAGATGCACTTAGGTTTTAGAAGAGAAAAACAAGAAAAAAAAATATTCTAAACCAATGGACTGCAGACATAGTACAGGGAATGACCAGAGACTGCGGACATAGTATAGGAGATGACCGGAGACTGCGGACACAGTACAGGAGATGACCAGAGACTGCGGGACATAGTACAGGAGATGACCAGAGACTGCGGACATAGTACAGGAGATGACCGGAGACTGCGGACATAGTTCAGGAGATGACCGGAGACTGCGGACATAGTACAAGAGATGACCGGAGACTGCAGACATAGTACAGGAGATGGCCAGAGACTGCGGACATAGTACAGGAGATGACCAGAGACTGCTGACGTAGTACAGGAGATGACCAGAGACTGCTGACATAGTACAGGAGATGACCGGAGACTGCGGACATAGTACAGGAGATGACCGGAGACTGCGGACATAGTACAGGAGATGACCGGAGACTGCGGACATAGTACAAGAGATGACCGGAGACTGCGGACATAGTACAGGAGATGACCGGAGACTGCGGACATAGTACAGGAGATGACCAGAGACTGCGGACATAGTACAGGAGATGACCAGAGACTGCTGACGTAGTACAGGAGATGACCAGAGACTGCTGACGTAGTACAGGAGATGACCAGAGACTGCTGACGTAGTACAGGAGATGACCAGAGACTGCTGACATAGTACAGGAGATGACCGGAGACTGCGGACATAGTACAGGAGATGACCGGAGACTGCGACCGGAGACTGCGGACATAGTACAGGAGATGACCGGAGACTGCGGACATAGTACAGGAGATGACCGGAGACTGCGGACATAGTACAAGAGATGACCGGAGACTGCGGACATAGTACAGGAGATGACCGGAGACTGCGGACATAGTACAGGAGATGACCAGAGACTGCGGACATAGTACAGGAGATGACCAGAGACTGCGGACACAGTACAGGAGATGACCAGAGACTGCGGACACAGTGCTGGAGATGACCGGACACAGACTGCGGACACACAGTGCTGGAGATGACCGGAGACTGCGGACACAGTGCTGGAGATGACCGGAGACTGCGGACACAGTGCTGGAGATGACCGGAGACTGCGGACACAGTGCTGGAGATGACCGGAGACTGCGGACACAGTGCTGGAGATGACCGGAGACTGCGGACACAGTGCTGGAGATGACCGGAGACTGCGGACACAGTGCTGGAGATGACCGGAGACTGCGGACACAGTGCTGGAGATGACCGGAGACTGCGGACACAGTGCTGGAGATGACCGGAGACTGCGGACACAGTGCTGGAGATGACCGGAGACTGCGGACACAGTGCTGGAGATGACCGGAGACTGCGGACACAGTGCTGGAGATGACCGGAGACTGCGGACACAGTGCTGGAGATGACCGGAGACTGCGGACACAGTGCTGGAGATGACCGGAGACTGCGGACACAGTGCTGGAGATGACCGGAGACTGCGGACACAGTGCTGGAGATGACCGGAGACTGCGGACACAGTGCTGGAGATGACCGGAGACTGCGGACACAGTGCTGGAGATGACCGGAGACTGCGGACACAGTGCTGGAGATGACCGGAGACTGCGGACACAGTGCTGGAGATGACCGGAGACTGCACAGTGCGGAGATGACCGGACAGTGCTGGAGATGACCGGAGACTGCGGGCACAGTGCTGGAGATGACCGGAGACTGCGGACACAGTGCTGGAGATGACCGGAGACTGCGGGCACAGTGCTGGAGATGACCGGAGACTGCGGGCACAGTGCTGGAGATGACCGGACTGACTGCGGACGGACACAGTGCTGGAGATGACCGGAGACTGCGGACACAGTGCTGGAGATGACCGGAGACTGCGGACACAGTACAGGAGATGACCGGAGACTGCGGACACAGTACAGGAGATGACCGGAGACTGCGGACACAGTACAGGAGATGACCGGAGACTGCGGACACAGTACAGGAGATGACCGGAGACTGCGGACAGAGTACTGAAGATGACCGGAGACTGCGGACACAGTACAGGAGATGACCGGAGACTGCGGACACAGTAGAGGAGATGACCGGAGACTGCGGACACAGTACAGGAGATGACCGGAGACTGCGGACACAGTACAGGAGATGACCGGAGACTGCGGACACAGTACTGGAGATGACCGGAGACTGCGGAGACAGTACTGGAGATGACCGGAGACTGCGGACATACTACAGGGAATGAGGGGGGGGGAAGCGAATTTGACAGGTACCCACTTCCACGAAGTTGTTCTCCCTCCCCGTCTTCTGGGATACGTGACAGGTCCCAGAAGACTGCTGGACTATTCACATAGCACAGCGCTTCTCGTGCATGTACAGTGGGAACCCAGCTGTGAAGCCGCAAATTGGACAAAATTTATGAAGAGATTTGATTAAAAAATATGCACATATGCAAACTGTTGTAATTCCTACACCGTTCACCTGATTTGGATGTAAATACCCTCAAATTAAAGCTGACAGTCTGCAGTTAAAGCACATCTTGTTTGTTTCATTTCAAATCCATTGTGGTGGTGTATAGAGCCAAAAATGTTGTTAGAATTGTGTCCATGTCCCAATATTTATGGACCTGACTGTGTATATGTATATATATATATATATATATATATATATATATATATATATAGGAGAAATATTAATATTGTGAGCGCTCTTTAAAAGATAGCATCTGAAGTACAAAAGGAAACCATAGTAACCTCCAAATAGCAATAAATAAGTAAAGTGCAACGCTGCACTTTACATATATATATATATATATATATATATATATATATAAATAATATATATATATATATAAATATTATTTTTTATTATTTTTTAAATTTCGCAAAGATTGAAAACCACAGTGGTGATCAAATACCACCAAAAGAAAGATCTATTTGTGCGAAACCAGTACTTAGTCATAAAGCTTCTACCTAACCAAGACATCGTATGCAGTGATGTGTTAAGCATCGTTGCCTATTACTATGGCCAGATATAAAAAACGTTTCTTCGTTGGCCTAAACTCCGGCCTTTACTTCCTTTCAACACTCCTTGTCCACCAACATGTAGATGTGGTGCACCAATGAGAACCATTCTCACCATGACTTTCAGTGCTGAGCAGATGGGTCAGGCGCTTTAATGTTATCCCATGAAGATGTGTCCCTCCTTGTTTTCAGGACAGTTGAATACATTGTTTGGGGGGAAGTATATGTAATCCATTTTTGGGCCATGGGGTCCATTTTGACCATTTTTAAGTGTTGAGCTGCTCAGTGTTTACGGCGGTCTGATTTTCTAAAGGCCAAACCATCAAAAATGATGGAGAAACTTTTCTACATCGAATCATATTGTCATTCTTCAGTTTATTTTGTAGAGAAGAATTTGTGATTTTTTTTTTTTTATTTATTTGTTATTTTTTGTTTTGTAATTAGTTGTTCTCTCATTGCTCCCGCCTCTTGGACATGTTCAGCTCTTTGTAATGTTCTGATGAGCTCTCCGCCATGGCCTAACTCTTGTCATTGGTGCCGACAGGTGTTCAGCATGTTCCTGGAAACCCTGGTGGATTCGTTATCATTCACAAGGACGACCTGCAGGACTGGTTGTTCATTTTACTGACCCAACTTTTGAAGAAGATGGGGGCTGACCTGCTGGGTTCTGTGCAGGCCAAAGTACAGAAAGCCCTCGACGTGACAAGGTAAGAGCAGCAAGACTAGCACACAGGTCTCACTGAGAGGACGCTCAGCCTCCTTAATGGCCACATGATGATATTTCTGTATGGACTTAGCACTGGTTCACACTGGGATTCCTGTGCGATTCAATGCAATTTTCTGGGCCGAAATCGCACCAAGAGTAGTGCATGCACTACTTTTAAAAACGCACTGTAACTTGATCACATGGTACTGCTTTCCGTGGACTGGTTCTGTTTACTGAACTTTTTATTCCCACCATTGATCTATCACTCTTTTATTATTGTTCTGACTGAGCTCGCTTTTGTCTCTGCAGGGATTCATTCCCTTTCGATCAGCAGTTTAACATTTTGATGAGATTCATCGTTGATCAGACACAGACGCCGAACCTCAAGGTTGGTACTTAGTGTATATACAGCAGAGGATTTGATTAGTAAATCAGTGTTCTATCCTACCACTGCATTAAATAGTACATTGTATATGGCAGTACATAAGAAACGCCATTATTACAGTAATATGACTTTCTTTTTTTGGTATAAAGGATAAGTTTACCTTTCAGAACATGTTACATCCCAAATTCCGAGTGTAACATGTTATGAATACACCGACTATCACGTACCTGGTGATGGAGGCCAATGGAGAGAGGGCTGCCCTTACGGCTAAGTTCTGGACTCCCCTGAGAGTGGGACAGCGGGAGTCTGGCCCAAAGTTGCTCAGGTCGCCTGTAGGAGTGCTGGTTGGTGGTCCACTCAGAAGCACAGCTGATGTACGGAGATAGGTCTGCAGACAGGAGGCGCCTGTGCGTGGTATGTAAGCCCTTCCGGGATTTAGAGATTTACTGGATATCCAGTTCAAGCCAAGGTCCGGTACCAGGTGGGAATCAGAGCAGACGTAGTCAGATGGGGTAGCCAAGGTCATACACAGAGGAGCGAGAGAGAGAGAGTATCCGTAAGCCAAGCCGAGATCAAGATCGGGTTAATCAGAGTAGACAGGTCCAAGAGCAAGCCAAGTCGGTATCAGGAAATCACAGGTCACGATAACACAGGAAACGGGAACAAGGCATGGGAGCTAGAGATCATCCAGCAACTTGAGGAAGTGATGAGCCTCCTTATAAAGGCTGTCTAGCACCAAACCGAGGCTAATGTGTGCTTCTGCGGCCATGCAGGGTGCTGACAGAAATGCCAGATCTTCCAGAACTTCTGCCGTGGACAGGACCCTGACACCGACCTCCGCTCCCCCACTACAAAATTTTGACAGCAGGATGAGAGAAGATACCCTGTTAGCTGTCAAAATGTTTTAAAAAAAACCTGGCCATGCAGGGCTCCGCCCATCCGGCCATGTCACTCGTTCACAGCCCTCTGTGAATGAGAAACTACAAGTAATCCGGCAGCCTTAGCGGCTCTCGGCCTGTATTTCTCAATGAACTACCATGGCTCTCTTGAGCACTGTGGCAATTCATTGATTTTTCCTGTCAGTATATCTACTTACCTATACATCCCATATGGACAAGCAGATATACTGACAGGCCTGCAGGAGACCTGCATGGCACCAGCGATCTGCTGATGAATGCTTTACAGGCTCCTGCAACAAAAAATAATAAATGCATATTTTTACCTGCCAAAAATGCATTTATTTTTTTTTTTTTTTTTGCAAAAGGTGAACTTACCCTTTAAAGCCCAACTTCACGTTTATCGTCACTTCATATGGTTCATTTGGCCAGGTTGACTCTTATTTAGTTCTGGGAGAGGGATGGGAAGTTCCTGTCCCACAGCCGGAACACAGCGCTGTATAGCTCAGGCTATATGCATTTAATAAAGTACACCCAGCTTATTAGTGCAGTCAAAATCTAATTTGGGTCAGCTTGCCCAAACAAACTATTTAAAGGACAAATTCCTTTAGGCTTTAAAAAAATGTATGGGATGTTGTTCCCCCCATCCCCCCCAAGTCATACTTACCTAGGTGGATTCAACATCGGTCCCCCACCGGCTCTAAGTGTGAGAACTCAACGATCACATGACTGCTGGTCGCTGAGTTCTCACCGCCGCTGTGAGCAGAGAGCAGAACTGTCAGTCACCATTGTCTGCTTTGCCCCCCCCCCCCCCCCACGCTCACTGGAGCACTGGGCTGCGGGAGGGGGGGGGGGAGCACCTGGCTCAGGCTCTCAGCACCTCGCTGAGAGGCTGAGCCAGGTGCCGCTCCAGACTCTGGGGTGGATCCTGACTTTAAAGTCAGGATCTTTCCCCAGTCTGGACCAGCTGAGTGACGTCAGCCGACAGCTGTTGAGCCCGCTGTCAGCTGAAAACGGTTCACAGGAGTGCAGAACTAACTGCACTCCTGAGATCCACAGGAGAAGTACAGCCAAAAAAGCTCCTTTTTCTTTATAGAAACACCAGCTATACAAAATATAAACTTGAACCGTAATTTTCCAGAGGTGCTGGATAGCTCCCTGTCAGAATATATGTGTCTTATATTTAGGCAATACTTGTGATTTTGGCTTTAGATAAAAAAATGTTAGTGTGTTTTTTGTATTTTTTCTGCTTTTTCACTGTGCACATTGGGGTTTTCTATAGGTGAAAGTTGCCATTTTGAAGTACATTGAGTCGCTGGCCCGGCAGATGGACCCCACAGACTTTGTGAACTCCAGTGAGACGCGATTAGCAGTTTCCAGGATAATCACATGGACGACCGAACCAAAGAGCTCAGAC